TGAGGAGACTCATCAAACTGAGCACCTCTTACAACTGATAATATCGATGAAATACTACGGAAACTGCCGTTGCGCAGTTCGATCGCCGTCATCGCCGTTGTCATCATCATCGCCGTCGCTATTGTCGCCACTATCATTGCCAATAACAGATGTTTTTTTTTCGAAGTCACTTCACCTGCCCGCACAAATTGATTTATATATTTGCTTGAAATTTTGCGGTTTCTATTTTTGAAGTTTTCTCTTATTGATATAATCTCGGCAATAAACGTGTTAGAATGTTTTGTCTTGGCGCATATAATTGAACAAGGTTGTGGGTAGTAGCTGCACGTATGCAGTCCAGGATCGAAAGACGTGACATAGCTGCGCTCGGTGTGCGAGAGCATTCCTGTAAAATCACTGATACGGGATACCCACACTGATTGCCCAAGCGATTTTGGTATTCTTTGTCCTTTTAATTCGCTTTTACTTTATGCGCTACAAAATGTAAAAAAGTTGTCTGCGAGTGTTTGCATTTGTGTGTGTATGTGTGTGTGTGTGTCTGTGTCTGTGTCTGTGCCTGTGCGCATATTTCGATTTGTAGGTCGACGGAAGCTACGAAACTCAAATTTTGGCAACTTAGTCTACCACCATAACTGGATTTCTAGACGTAGAATGGACACTGAGTTTCTCCTGCTTCTCATATGCGGATACCTAAAAGTTAAAACGGCAATTTTTTTAGCTTCACAGCTAGAAAAGCCAGAAAGTCGAATCTTGTGAGTATGGTTCTTAATTGTGTGCGAATAAGTGGATGGAAAACTAGTCTTTACATCGCCGCTATATTTCATGTATGAACACTAAGAATTTAATGCTGACAATTTTGTAAGCCTAGAACCGAATTCGCTAAAGGTTCTGAAATCACGTAAGAATGGTCCATGACCATGTTTGAGTAAAATACGTATGTGTTTTACGTACGGTCACATGGCTGTTAACTGTGGCAATTTTGCAACTGGTTGTGCAAGAAGTGCATGTTCGCAGCGCTTTCCTGGGGCGCACTACGACGTTTAAAATTCCTTGCTAAAATCATTTATTTATTTTTTTTTTTTTTTGCTTTCTGAAACACTCCAGCTGCAATCGTGC